CACACACACACACACACACACACACACACACACACACACACACACCAACCACACTCACACACGCGCACACACACCCACACAGAGTTCACAAACTTTCAAACTGTATTGTTAGTTTAGTTCACATATTCAAATTCGGTTCGGCTTATGCTTAGTTTAGGTACCAGTCATTTGCAAACATAATATAAACACTATTTTTGTCTATCTTTCTTTTGTTCATGTTCAGTGGTTATGTTTGTGGAGAGAAATAAATACATTATTATTATTATTATATAGTTTGTAGCAGTGGAGTAGCGATGCAACGGAAGTGTCGTAACGGAAACATATGTTAAAAGTAAATGTTAGTTGAAACGGAAGCGGATGCAGAAGTGTAAACACTATAAAATCTACGAAATTGTTCCAAACAGATCAGAGAGAAACAATCAAATTGTAACAACATAAAATTGCTAAACAACGCGCGCACTTTGTAAACTTCCGATTAAAATTCCGTTATAAAGTTGCGGAAGCAGAAACGGCAACATATGTGAAAAAGCGTGCGGAATTTCCGCAGTTGCGGAAGCAGTCATAGAGTTCTGTTTCATCACTATAATGGAGCTACGAACTTTGTTCTGGTGTTGTGCTTTATTGCCTCTTGCGTAAATAGAAACTTCAGACCGTTATTAAATAAGTCCAAGGATTACAGAAAGCGCGCTCCGATGATGGTAAGACGGGATCAAGATCACGAACAGCTCTATTTATGAGCTCATTTAGGACCTACAAATGTTGTGCAGAAGATACAAAGTATAGTTGCGCCAAGGAGTTGGCAGCAACATAATCACGGTGCATATTATATTTCAGCTGTATTGTGAAATCAACAAATCCGACGATTGTGGCAAATCAGCGGCATGATTTGCCACAATCGTCGGATTTGTTGGTTCATCAAAAAAACTTTAGCTGAAATTAAATAAATTATATTGAATAAAAATAGATGTTTAAAAAATGTCATAAATTTACAATCAAAAGATCGGCACTAGGTTTTGATACAAAAATTGGAATTTACAACAGATTTCGTCAAAAATGTGTAAGCTAAAATAAATCCCGTCATGTATTAACTGCCTCTGTGGCAGAACGGTTAACTTGCTGGTCTGCCACACTGGGGTCCCGGGCTCGATTCGCGGGTCAGGAGAAATGATTGTATGGCCTACATTTATTTCTCTCGTATGATTCTCATGGATTGGATGATATCCATGGATTCGCGATACAGGGTTTCCCTAGTGCGGGTGAAGGCGCTACAAATATTTATCATGCTTAGTTCATATTATACTGGCAGCATTGCCTCGCTGGATAGCAATGGATACCTGTTGACCAAAAAATATTACGTATAGTTACTGTCGCCCAAAAGAAGTATTATCAGAAACCAGAGACAAAAATCTTTAACTACAATCTTTGATTGTTGCCAGCGATTACTAACGAAACTGATATTTTGAGACTAATTCACAATTTGACGACTTCAGTGGCCCAACGGTTTACTGTAGGCGCTGGATGCGGAGGCCACGGGTTCGATTCCCGGTAGGACTAATTTAGGAAATGAACTTTTCTAAACATGTTGTGGTTTGGGTGGTCTGGGCAGTGGACTGGACCTGCTTGAAGGGGTTCCGGGCTCCATTCCCAGTGGGACCATTTTGGGAAATGTACTTTTCTGAATTGGTTCTGGGAAGTGGATTTGTTCGTTCCCCAAAAAACTGCCCCAGTGAATTCCGTTAGATATGGTTGTCTGGCACATTATTATTATTAATTTCGCATTCATTTCCAACATTTCCAGGCCAAGTTATAAACGTAATCCGAGAATGGCGAGCTACGCGGTGGACAGAGCACGGAACCCGTACCCGCCACATCAGAGTGCCTGCTTCGTACCAAGCGGGCATAACCATAGCAGCACTCACTGGCTCCGAAGCCCACAGGCGACTTATGCATGCACCACAACTTCCCATACTAGGTCCACAGACGGACGAAGAAAGGAAACGAGACAGAGTTTAAAAAATTTCATTGGTAAGAGAGAAATAGTTATATAGTTTGGGTTACTACTTTTATCACCATTAAAATGTAAGATAACTGTCCATTCACATTATAAATGCAGGATGTGATTGTTATAAAGCATTGAATTTTGATTAGTTTGAATAAACCATTACTCATTGAAACAATATGCAGAAATGTACTACGCGGGCATTACATTAATGTCAACTAAATTCTAATATTTCCGATCACAGAAGAAACTCGGTAATAGGTAAAAATGTACACACAGAAGGTCAAGCACCCGGGTTTTAACCCGCTGCTTTGATAACGCCGTGTTTAAACCCATTAACACACTTTGTACTTTGGACTGTTCTTATCGTAAGCGGCATAGAGTTGGATTTAAGCCTTAAGTGTCAAGCTTGACGTGCTCTTGACCCTGTACAACTAAATTTAAATTGAATAAATCGAGTTTTTTAAAAATTTAATGATGTTATTATAAAAAATTAATTGCTTTCTGATTTAGACAATATTGAATTGTGTGGAGTTGTCTTTTTTCGTCTAAAAAAATTGTTTACATCTAAATTTGTAGTGATATGGAATTATACCAAATTCTGTAATAGACGTTTCCACCTTCGATTTTGGGTAGAAAAGGGTTAAAACCACTTTGAGTAAAAACCCGGGCGGCTGCTCATCGTTGGTTGTGCACATTATTAAAAATTAACTACTGTCACTTATGCTATCAGGAAATCGGCCAAACAAGTCTGTATTAAAAGTGTTTATAATGAAATACGACCCCTCCTACGTAAAGTACCTATACTGTACCTAACGGTACCTACTTACGTACTGTACTACGTAATCGTAGGTCGTACGATGGCCTTTCTACATAGACCCGTTACTCAGTTTCTTTTAACTTTACAACTATTAAAAACAGTATGGTTAATATAAAACCACTTTACAGCAGCTATCTACAGGGTTGCTATTAATTAAACCCAAGTCTCTGCCGTCGTTATCATAAACAACGTTATCGATGTTTTTAGCCAAATTGAGTTGTTAACATATCCAATCAGCGCAACGACATGTACAACCCCCTCTAATCGGTTATCTACTTTCAGTTTTATTATTAAACAAAATAGGCATCATTGACGTATTTCAAAGAATAAAAAATAAATTGAGGTGCCAATGTCCGTAAAGTTAAAAAATGCAAGTGCGTTGTTTATGACAAGGAGGACCTGATGACACAATGTTCTTTGTTTACTACTATGAACATTTACACATTGTTCTCATACATATTGGAACAGCTGGATGCCGTATGGTAAGTATCGAAATTGGTTACGAATATTTTAAATTCTTAAAACATTTTTCCAGAATTTTTTTATATGAAAATTTCTTTGTTTTAGTCACGGAGTAAATAGTATGATTATTTACTCCGTGGTTTTAATTAGGTATGCCATGGTTAAATCAACCTTTATAACCAAGTAGCTTTGTTAAGACCAATAGTTGTCACACATCATAATAAATGATGATCCAAATTTTTATGTTTACTTGAGGTACATCCAGGGCCAAAAAATATATATATGTGCAAACTAACAAAAGTTTTTCAACATTTTAGGAAAATCAACCTTATGTGAATTAAGGTAAAGCGCAGTTTCATGCGTTTGGTTGATTCTAATTCTAATTAAAATTAAAACTAAAGGCTCATGTAATTTTAACGCTGACGTTACCTGTAACTGTAACAGTTGTGCATCCAAAGCACTGGATCAAACATAGATAGCTCCGTAGCTTATTTCAGTGTGCTAAGTGAATTTTCCATATAAGGTGCGATATACCAATATTATTTCGTTATTTTGACCTCCTAATGTCTTCACAATTTGTTCCATAAACCAGCTTTCAGCCACTTGGCATTGCTGAAAATTAATTATCTTAAACACTATAATTGGACATAGTTATGCAAATAAGAACCAACCCACACTTCGAGTGAAATTGAGTTACTTATTTAGGTAGAACACCAGACGTGTCCTTTACCCGCTCACAAAAGATCCTGGCAATATACCAATACCAAGCCAAAACGGAGAAAATAAAAGTCCTTCAAGGTACTATAGCATAGGACGTAGCTCAGGTAGTGTAGCGAGAGATACTTTTAAATATAAACTGGGAATATCTTCATAAATAAATATTTATTACGTATTTTAACATGTTGTTTTATGGAGGCTTCTTCTAGAACTGCCAAGATGTTCTTCTTTTTTCTATCCTATTTTTTAAAATACATTCTAAACACAAATCTATATTCATTCAGCCAGTACTTCTACTCATAGAGTAGAGCCTAGACTACACCCCTCTTCCTCACAACTGAAGGGGTGAACATCCCTAGCGGGTGTCCTACCTATGATAGGCAACTTACATAAGTGATCAGCTCAGCTCATTTTGTTTTCGTACCACGGTCACTCCCAGCTCGACCGCCACAACAGTCAGAGCTGTTAATAAGCTAATCATGTGTAATAATTTATAAGTCTACACCCTTCATGTATCTATTTCTGTAATTCAGTTTCTCGGCCCTTTTAGGGGTAAGTGCCTTAATAATAAAGTGTAGGGAGTGTTTTATACTGTTATATCTGTTTTTTCACATTTACCTTTATATTCTTACAGCCTTTCTTTAAACTTTACTTCTTTAATAAATTTTGTGGACCGGAAGTTTCCCATTTCATTGCCCTGTTCACGGCTAGTTAGGGTTACAACCCTTTCAACACTGCTCGGAAGCTACTTCCTTACCAACAAGCAAACCACCGAGAAGGCTGTGGCTTTAGTCTGCCAAAATCCTGTCTAAAACGACAGACCATGACCACATCCTAATCAAACAATTCAAAATATAATTATTCGTTAGCTATCCTAGCTATTTAGGTAACCTATCTACATCCTAACTCTTTATTTCAGCTACCCTAGCTTGGCAGAATGTTCCTAACAAATCCTTAAACATCACTACTAGAACTCCCTAAATGCGTCACTAAACTATCTTCAACGTGCACGCTGCTACAACGACGACACAGGCTTGAGCATCCATCGGACGTCCACTGGGGAACATCTATATTGAATTCCCAGCTGCCTTAGTCCTCGTGCTGCAGCTATCCACGTTCCACCTAACTTTCTTACTTTCTTTGGACAAATTAAAACAACACGCAAATTATCCTAACAACAACATTTCCTAACACACATATGATACGGCGATATACCATATGGAGGATTCCTAATAATATAACAAATATATTTTCCTCAAATGCAGACAGTTCTTGTTCATCTGGGAGAGTGACCACGAACTATGAACACACACAGGACAATATACCCATCAAATAAAAAAAATGAGTAATATCTATCCAAGTCGGTAGTCCATCTTCTCCTCCTCATAAATAAATATTTATTACGTATTTTACATCTTGTTTTTTGGAGGCTTCTTCTAGAACTGCCAAGATGTTCTTTTTTCTATCCTATTTTTTTAAATACATTCTAAACACAAATCTATATTCATTCAGCCAGTACTTCTACTCACAGAGTAGAGCCTAGACTACAGTACCAACCCTAAATAAGTAACATTTAATAGCTAAAAAAAACCATGCTGCTTAACTTCATATAATGTATTTTTTTAAATATGCTAAATGGATCCATGTCACATGTACTGAAGTACTGTAGATCTTTACCGTGTTCATTACGAAAACTAGAACATGGTTCTCGTTAACTAAATAAAAAGATATATAATGTTTTCTGTTTATTGCTATATAATAGAATAGTTTCCCTATATCATTCTCAATGCTACACATAACTCACGTTGTTTTTCTCAAATAACTTACCTATTTATTTCTTCACACTGTTTTTACAAAAATCGAATTATCTCGAAAGCGACATTTTGTGGGTTGGTTCTAGTTTGCATAACTATGTCCAATTATAAGTGTGTACGATAAGATACTTGGTATGTGGGACAGACTTAGCTTGTTCTGAATAGGATACTTAAGTAGTATAATCTGGAATGAAGTGATAGTCTTATGATGGTTTATTGGAATTTGATTTAAAATATTCACATACATCTGACATGTACGTCTAGTTTTTTTTATAGTTGGGTGTAGTGTAAGGGGAACATAATTATTTTATTTTTAATCAAAGTTTTGTGCTCTACGAAAAACAGATAATGTTATAAGAATTTTGAAGTACACTAAACATGCCTTTGTTTATCAGCTTTACATGTTTTAACAATCATTACACTGAATTCAATACTTACGATGTATTTGCCGAAAACATACAAATTGTGCTAACGTTTCTCTTCTCCTAAACGATGGGGTATGAGGAACAATTTCTGTACTACAATTTCTTATAAAGGGTATATATAACCTCGTGTTCTCAAGATTTTACAACTGCAAATATGGTTTTTACACTTTCTGGATTTGGAGCATTGTAACGCCATCTCTTTAAAATCGTTAAAACTATTTTGTTTGTCTGTTTTATCGACTGAGAGACTATACAGCTGAACTCTTTAATTTATGAGTTGAGGCTTCAAATCCCTCTTCCCGCGGTTTTACCCCACCAGACCCTTCAATTTTTGAACCCAACGAAAGATCGACATCTACAAGTTGTAGCAGAATGGTCAGACCTTATTGTTCCTCGCAACAAGCACATTATGAAAAATTGTAAAATGAATTTTTCCATCACAATATATTAGAACATTAAACTCTGTAACCATTTTTTCCGTTAAAATTAAGAAAAACAAGGACGAAAATATTTTATCTCTGCTCTCCTTGTCGTAACTAATGCATTTGCATTTCCGTTGGAGATATTGCCACCTAAAGATGTCTTTGCTGGCAAAAATGTCAAGTACGCTAATTTTGCTTAACAATAAAATATAAACTAAATAAGAATTAAGAACACCGATTAAAGGATGTAGATCTTGTTTTGCTGATCCCAAGTATGTTACTAACTCAATTTCGTTAAAGATGTCTATTACGTTAGTTATGATAAAAGTAGATCTGATGACTGCACTTATGTCAAAGAAATTGAGTAAACTGAATACTTTTGTTTTCATGTAAATATGCGAAACTATACTCTAGCCAAATTCTATGTAGAATGTTTAATAACAAAACATTGTTAGGCAACCAATGATGGCATAAGAAATAGTTATTTTATAAGCAAGGCTGCAAAGGTAAGCATAGCGAGGGTTTCAAGGCACGAGATGCAAATCAACTTTGCTGCCGAGCGAAACACAACTTTTCACCTCACTATAACGAGGAAAATGATAGAAGAAAGAAAAACAGTTGAAAAGTTTTTTTAATTAAAAGAAAAAGTTTATCTTCGGATCCGTTTTGAATTTACACCTCATCAATTTTTATTCTTGTTTGTACTTTTATTTAGTGTGATTAATTGATTATTTAAATTATTTTAGTTCTTCGACGAATTAAAATAATTTAA